TATTTCCATTGTTGAGTTTCCCTGAAGTGGCCCAGGCAGCTGTCTGCACCCCAGTGATAATTCATGGACAGCGCTTTCATCTCCAGAGCCATTGCAACTCCCATCTAATGAATCCCAGCACCGGGATCCTTCACGAAAAAATAAAAAAGGACAGATCTGGAAAACTGAGCCGTGACACAGCTCTCCCCGGGTGGCTGCTAGTAATTATTCCATTAGTGTTAGGGATGTACAACCTCCCAGACCCTGAGGCACCGACTGGGATTTCTCCAGAGGAGATGCTCTAGAAATACAGACAGAAAATGAGCTTCTGGTCGGTCTGGGGGAGTCCGGTCCCAGACCGACTGCCTGGGCTGGGGACAGGGAGTGGGATATATCAAACCCAGGCCAAATCCTGCCCCGATGCCGGGTGGTGGGAGCTCACTGAGGGCTTCGGCGGGGCCACGCGAGTGCTCCAGCCACGAGCTGCAAACAGCCGCCCTGAACGATCGCATGCTAAGCACAAATCGGTGCCTTGAGCCAACAGCCAGTTAAGTGCTATAAATAAAGCTGTTATCATCCATGCCTCACTCGCTGAGCAAGCTGGGCCACAGCGCTTCCTCCCCAGCAGCGTTTAAGGGTGATTTCTAGCCTGGAGGAGGCCAGGAACTTGTCAGCATCCAAAGTTCAGTGGCCTTTTTCCATCCTGCCATTGATTTTGCACTTGGCCAATAAATCCACTGGTTGCCCGCCCTGGGCATGGGGGGGGGACAGAGCTGGCAGACATGGTCACTGTTCCAGACAGGAAGACTTGTGTTATCTCTGTGGTCTCTCCCCAGCCTGTCTGGGTCCCATCCTCCCCCTCTTCCATCCTTCTGCTGCTCTGATTCCTGCTTCAGGTCCATCACCCCAGCCACCACCACTCTGCTCCTGAACGGGACCCCCAGCCCTGCAGCCTGTGCTGCTCTGGCTGACAAGCTGCAAAAGGACAGAAGTGGACGGCTCTGTCCTCAGGTGGTGGCCAAGGGACGTGGCACAGGGTGCTCCTGGTCATGCTGGGAGGAGAGCAGAGAAGAAATCTGGCTGAGGAGGGGGAAGCAGGAGGAGGGATGGGCACGGCGATGGGAGAGGAGCTCATTTCCCACTGGGGGATGAGGACCTGCAGGAGGAAGCTCAAGCAGAAGAGGATGGAGGCAGCTCACAGACAGGCGAAGCTGCACGCTGAGTCCCTGCAAGGATGCCACACGCTGTCCAGCTCCTCCTAAATCAACCCAAGGGAAGGAACGTGCTCATGTCACGCTCCCCAGGAGACAGAGGCAGAGCAGGGAGAAGGCTGCTGCTCTCCAGGGCCTGAAGACTTTCCTGTCTCTGTTTTGGTGCCGGTTAATGATGCATGGCCAGGGCTGGGAGGAGAGCGTGGAGGGGGAGGGCAGGATGGAGGAGGAGGGGGGCCCATATGGAGACACTTCTCCCAGAGAGTGGCAAGATGCTGAGCTGGCGTGAGATCGGGAGCTCACCGAGACGTTGGCTGTTAGAGCCAAGCAATCAATATGTGAAAATCCAGCCCCGGCGAGGAAGGTGACCTTGAGCGGCAGAGAGACAGAGGGAGGAACGCTGCATGAATTACACACCCAGACGGTCTCTGGGTGAGGGAGGAGGGATGGAGGGGAATGAGAGGGACAGGCAGGATGCGAGCCCGCTGCCCAGCTGCTGCAGAGCCGGCTGCATGCCCCGGGAGCGGGCAGCCATGGATCCAGCTGGAGGGAGGATAGTGCCCGGAGTGAGTCTTCTCCTCCCTGTCCTTCCCTGCACACCCTGTACCAGGGGGGACACAGCTGCCAGCACATTTCTAAAGCAAAACAATCCGGGAGCACCTGCCTGTCACCCATCCCTTCCATCCGGGGCTGGTCCCCATTGCTCCCCACATCATTTAACTGTCTCCAGCAATGGGGCTGCCACCGTTGCCCATCTTTGTAGCCCTGCAGCTCCTGCTGTTACTCAGCAAACGCCCCCGAGATCAGAGCCATGCTTTGCCTTTGCACTGCCCGCAGCGGACCCGCTCCTCTGCTGTCTGCTGACCCCGTTAGCCAGGATTAGCTGGTCTCTGGCTGTGCCCGTGGCAGGCTGGCAGAAGCAACACTGGTATCTCAGCAGAGATGCACCATCCCTGACATGCATATATGCATGGGACAGGCTGTGCAAGCCTGTAAAGCCTCCGCCACAGAAATGGCTTAAAATGCAGGCAGGTCCCCAAGGGCAGGCGGTGACTCTGCCCCTCAGGAGCAGCGTAAGCCGAGGCATCAGCTGGGCAGAGCTGCGGACATCGGGATGGAGAGAAGCCAGGACTCCCAGCTGCCCGGCTGCAGGACGTGGGGCAGCACAAGCCGCAGAGAGGGTGGCAGCTCTCAGGGCCGCTACCAGGCCAGGCTGAAGTGGGACAGGGCTGTCCCGCTGGCAGGAGGGCTCTGGAGAGCCCCTCTAACGCCCGCCACCATCTCCAGCCCCGGGGAGGGCTCCGTGCCTCCACACTGCTCCAGCTAATCGCTTTGGGGTGCTCGGGGAGAGCCGGGGAGCAATCCACCCCCACGGAGGGGATGTGGCGCTTCAGCAGGGTGGGAAAGGGCCGAGGAGCCAGCGGCAGGAGGGGGTTCCTGCTCCCTGCACCACGCTGCAAAGACAGGTGCTGGATTCTTTCCCCCACCGTGGCAGCAGCAAGGACACGAGGGCTGAGCCCCCAGCAGCCCCCTCCCAAGCACAGCCCCAGCCCCCTCCAGGGCTTTGAGGAAGGGGAAGAGCTGCTGCTGCTGCCCCAGCCCTCTCCCTCCTCCCCAGGGGTCTCAGGGGACCCAAGAACCACACAAGACGAGACAGCGCCGCTGAACCTCAACTCTCCCCCAGCAAATCCCCCCACACCCCTCCTCCTCCTCCAAGCCACCCCATTGCTTGTAGAGAAGCTTGGTTTCCACAAAACCAGCAGCCCCATCTCCCCCACAGACATCCCTCCACCTACCTCACTCTCCTCCCCCACGAAGCAAACCCTTCTTTTCCCCTCTGCAGCTTCTTTTAATCCTTCCTCTGCCAACACTGAGCACCTGGGCTATTCCCCAGCTGTGTGGGCATGCCCATCAGTCGATAAAACCACCCCAGAAGGGAGAGGTAAACAGCAGAGAGTGAGTTTGCAGTCTGAAGTTAAGGTCAGGTATTTCCAACCACTCTGCCTTGCCATCTAGTGGGACGAACGCGAAGGGCCGGGGCTCGCTGTTGGGAAAAGTTGGCCAAATCCATCCGGCTGGAGCCGAGCCTGGCTCGCAGCAATATTTCATCCCACAGGAGCAGATGAGATCACTGGGGGTAAAGGACAGCGCGAGGGTGTCAGAAGGATGAGTGGGGAAGGAGGAGAGAGGGGGCACAGACAGACAGACAGCTGTTTCGAGGATGACATGACACCAGCACTAATAAATCTTGGCAGTTTCGAACTAATCTGAAAGGAAAGGATTGGAACAGCTCCACATCCCCATTTACCAAGGGCCCTGGCCTTTGGATCAGCATAATCTGTGTCTGGGTTTTGAATGGATTTGGGGGTTTGAACGGAAAAGGGGAGAGAGGTGCTGTGCACACACGTGCTCAGTGCCACCAGCGTGCCCGTGCCGTGCCGACGAGGCAGGCTGGCAGGCAGGAGTGCCCAGCAGTGCTTGCAGCCTGCCCGTAGATGAGAAGCTGGATTTTCTTGTGCGTGGTTTTTTTTGTTTTTTTTTTTTTTTTTTTGCCTCCGCAGGCCTCGGAGGATGTGGGCTGAACTCACTGGTTTCAGTTCAGGGTTTTGGATTCTCCAGGGATGTGTCATCCCTCTCATGGTATGCGTGTTTGTTACATGTGTATAAAAATATAGAGGATGAATACATTACATTTAAAATATCTCACCACTGGGCAGCTCTTTTTGGGTGCTGAAAGCTGGGATGATACGAGATATTTTAACTCCAAGGGACTTTTTCCTGCTGGACCCAGGGCCGTTCAGCTCGTGGGCTCCAGTGCTGCTCCAGGGTTTCCCTGCAGCTGAAGCAGACTCCAACCCAGGGACACCCTCCCTCTGGGCAGAGCTCATACTGGAGACCCCATTTGGTACCAGGGCAGCTCCCAGTCCCGGGGCGGGGGGGTCAGGATCCCTGCAGAGCTGAGGCAATGGGGCTGCAGCAGGTCTGGGGTGAGGTGATGGAAGACTTCCAGCTGCTCTGTGCTGAGGTTTCTTATGGCATCTTCTTTTGGAGCACACGGGGACAGCCCAGCTGTGGTCACAGCTCCCGCCTGGGTGTGCAACACTCCCCCAGCGCCACACAGACCCACTGGATGGACCTGGGGATGGCTGAGGGGACAACCTGGTCATGCAGGTCAAACCTGATGTAGCTAACGCCTCCTCACCTCTCTGCAGCATCGCAGCTCCTGGTCCCTGTCCAGGAAACCCTGAATGCAGACATGGATCGGTTTTCCCAAAGCCCTGGGAGGGAATTGAGGAAGAAGTGGGACATGGGGAAGGCCCTGTCCTTGCAAACCAGCATCATTCACAAAGCAGCTGGGCAGGGGCTGGGCAAGGGCTTTCCGCTGCTCTCACTGTTGAGAACAAGACACCGAATGCAATTAAGTCTTGGTTTTATTAGAGCTGCCCATTCTGATTTGCCCCAGAACTGAGTTCACCCCTATGTGAAGGCTCAGCTCCCACCAGGGTTAAATGCATCTGCCTTAACCCCACGTTTTCCATGGAGCAGCAGTGTCCAAGGGGGTCTGGGGTGGGGTCATGGTGGGTCTGGGAACCCTCCCCCTTGTTTCCCAGTGTTGGAGCCGTGGGGCTCACAAGAAGCGGCCCGTGGGCAGGCGGGGCAGGCAGAAGTAGGCGTTGGGGAAGAGGCTGAGGTTGATGGGGTTGCCGTCGAGGCGGATGTCCTCCAGCACCCTGCGGATCTGGCTGTGGTCTTGGCTGTTGCAGAAGGTGTTCTCATGCATGGTCTGGATGTTGTTGTTCTGGCCAGGGAGGCAAAGGGCAAAATCAGCTTCAAAGGGATGGGGAAGAGAATGAAGAGGAGGAGGAGGAGCTCCTCTCCTGGTGGTGACAGGCTCTGCTAGGCTCAGATACGGACAAGCCTGGGTCCAGCTTTGCCTCACCTGGAGATGCAAGGAGCGCAGGTTCTCGGGCAGGGGCACTGGGATATAATCCAGCTGGTTATCAGACAGATGGAGAAACTGCAGCTGCTTCAGGTCCTGCGGGAAGAGGGGAGATGAACCTCCCCGTTCCCAGCACCGCTCCAGCCCTCCGCACCATCCCTGTTACCCCTTGGCATGGCACGTTTGGGCTAAAACCAGCCTGGATTGGGCTAAAACCAGCAGTCCCAGACCCACCCGGAAAGCTTCAGGCCGGAGGCCGGTGCTGGGGATCCTGTTGAGACGGGCATCCAGCCGGACGATGCTGCCGGGCAGCTCGGGCAGCGCCGTCAGCCTGTTCTCGGGCAGGATGAGCTCCTGCAGGCTGGGGAGCAGGCGGAAGGCGTCTGCATCTGCCCAGGAGATGAAATTGCTGGTCAGGTCTATTCGCTTTAGCTTTTCTGGAAGGAGAGGAGGGAGGAGATGGACAGGGACCTATGCGGAACTGCTTATTCTCCCCGTGCTCCATTGCAGAGCTGGGCCTTTCCCTTGCCTCCACGTACTCAGCCCCGTGAAATCGCTGGCCCGGATTGTGCCGATGCGGTTGAAGCGGGCGTAGAGGTAGGTGGTGTCCGGCGGCAGCGGCGGGATGTGCTCCAGGTTGACATCGTCGCAGTAGACGGAGGTGCTGACGCACAGGCAGAGCAGGCAGCTGGGCAGGCCTGGGGGTGCCGAGGCGGCCCGTGGCATGGCATGGCATGGCACGTGGCATGGCACGGCTCCCCCGGCCCCCGCAGGGCACCCCAGCATGCCCAGAGATGGGAGGACGTGCCCACCCCTGCCCACGCTGTGGGTACACAAAGTCTTTAAGCACCCAGAGCTGCCACAACCCCGGCACCTTCATCAGTGAAACAGCCAAGGGCATCTTGTCAAGGGAAGGGCCAAAACTCCCAGCCAAAAGAGCTGCTAATAAATGAAACTGCTCAGGGCCAAATACCCCCCGTGGGAGAGGGGGAGATGTAAGGTTGGCAAGCGCAGCAGCCTTACACCCAGGGCTCACTTGGCCCCCTCGTTTTTTCCTCAGAAGGAAACGGAACAAAAGAAAACAGTTTTGCATCCAGCAAAACATCTGTCTTGGCTGCACGGGGGTCCTGGCAAGCTGGATGGGGGCAGCAGGAGGTGTAAAGCCATGTGCCCCCCCCTACATGTGCTCCCTCTCCTCTCCCCCAGCGCCCTCGAGACTCAGCATCCATTAGTGGGGGAGTTCAAAGCAGCAAGGCAACAATTTCCCTTTGCCTCCTACTTAATTTGTCCCAGTCCAGAGTGACAGAAAATGAATAAAGATATTTATCCCTCGCTACAGGATTTTAATTGTCACTAATCTAATTGCTACTCTGTCCGACTGTCGCAATGCCTCTGCTCATTAAAATGTTGCTGCTTTGCTGGAGCTCTTACTTCTCAGAAATGTCTCGCTGCAGCCCTCCTGCCTGCTGTGTGATAAGACTCACCCCCCAACACCCCGGGCAGAGCAAATAACTGCTGCTGTCTGCTGGTGGCAGAAGGATTTGCTCCTTTTTTCTCCAGAGCACCAGCCCCTGGACTGCATCCCACGGGGACCAAATCACCGCTGCGCTGCACCCAGGGCTCTGCACTCACCCTGCGCGGGGACGGGCGCTGGGTGGATGGGGCCGGCGGTGGTTGGAGGCTGCAGCTTTGGGGTTTCAGCCGTGGGGCCCAGGTTTGGGAGAGCCGCGGGGTCCTTGGGGCGAGGAGCCAGGGTGCCGACTTCAATCTGCAAACACAGCCTGGGCGTGAGGGCTGGGGCGGCCACGTGGGTCCTCCCGCTCCCCTCCAGCGCAGGAGGCGCTGGTCAGGGGGTCAAGGGCACTGGGTACGTCTTATTGAAAAGCCAGCTCCTCTTCGGAGAGCTCTCCGGAAGTTTCAGAAATCCCCCTCCCCATTTACCCCGAGGGATGTAGGAAGCCTCATCTCCTGGCTTCCTGCAGCGACGCTCTGGCCAGGTGCTGGCCGGGAACGAGGAAGCTGGTGGAGGTCAGGGTGGGGTAAAGCCTTTCCTGACACCAACGAGAACGGTGGAAGAGCCACCAGGGCCCGTCGGCTTGTGCAAGAAGCTGGTTCTCCAGCTGTGCCCCATCCATCCCCTGGACCAAGCCCCTTTCTCAGGGTGCACCCAGGGAAGACCTGCCCTGCACGCTGGTGCTCTCCTGCATCCCCCTCACCTTCGGAGCAAGGTCACCGTAGTCATAGAGCTCCTCATAGTTGTTCAGGTCAAAGATGTCCCCGTAGTTGTCCAATGTCAGGTCATAGTTGTCCAGGTCCAGGTTTTCGTAGAGTACCAGGTCAGCTTTTGTCTTCTCTGCCTTCCTCCTCTCCTCCTTGGCTGGGACAGCCCAAGCTGCCCCCAGGCACAGGCTGGTGATGCCCAGCCAGGCCAGGGCCTTCATCCTGCACCCAGCCAGCATCACCGCTGGGGACCACGGTCCCTGGGGGGCACAGGGCTCCCACAGGACCAGCAATGCAGGGCAGGATGGGGCCAGGTGCCCTGAAACGGTTGCAAAGCAGTGAAAGCAAAGAGGGATGGGAAGGCAGAACCGGCACGGTGGCTGCAGCCAGCCACACTCTGCAGCCAAGGTGGGGACTGTGGCCACCGTGGGGGACAAACAACCTCCATCCCTGGCCCCACAACATTACACCGTCCCTTTTCTTTTCAGCCCATTTCACGCTCGGCCAGGCGGCGATGCAGGAGAGGCCCCCCGGCCCTGCCGTGCTGCCCTCGCTTCTCAGCTTTCCCAGCCCTGAGGAGGGGGTGAGGGGGGTTGGGGTCCTGCTCTGGCCCCTCGAGGCGATGGATGGAGCTGGTCACTGGCCCAATAAACCCAGCAGAAAGGACCCCGGGAGCCCTAGCATTCTGCTGCTCTCCCCCCGGGTCACCCCAAGTCCAAAGCCCCACGGTGTTTCTCAGCCTCCAGCATCCTGGGCAAGCCCGTGCTGGGGAGACTGGAAGCCACAGGGTCCCTGTGACTCGCCTCTGTCCCCTGTACAGGGACACCCCCAGCTCTGCAGCCCGGGTGGGGTGCACCTGGCAACCCTCTACCCAAACCCGCTGCGGCCCCTTCCCAAAGGGGGCTCCCTCCCACCTGAACCTGGCCCCTGCGCACGGGTCCCCCGCACCCACCGCGCACCCTGTGCTGCAGCATCGCCCACCCCGCGGGCTGCGTGCCCACGTGTGCACCCACGGCAGAGCAGGCGGAGGGCCCAGCACCCTCCCACGCGGCTCTCCCAAACCAAATCCCAAAACAACCACCCAGCCCAGAGTTTTTTCGCCCCAGACTGAGGATTCTGCTCCCTAATTTCTGCCCGGTTTTCCGCAGATCAAAGTTTTACGAGTGCAGTGAGCCCCCCACACACATCGCTGGCCCCCGACCCTCTGCCCCACAGCTCACCCCAGCCCAGAGGGGCTCTGCTCGGTGCTGGATGAGCAGAAAGAAGGCGGCATGGCATGAACGTACCCCCTTTCCCCTCCTTCTTGGTGTGGGAGAGCCCCGCTCCGCTCCTCTGGGCTGGTGCACTGCCTGGGGAAGGGCTGCCGGGCTTTTAATGCGGGGGGGGGCTGCACGGAGGGGCCTGGCATGGCCGCTGCTGAGGGGAGAGGCAGGATGCGGCCAATCAAACCAGCAGCCCCCCACTGGGACCTTATATTGTCCCCAGGGGTAAGCCAGCCCCAGTGGCCGCTGTCCTCCCACAGCCTGGGCTTGTGTCTGGGGCTGTGGGGGACAGGATGGGGGACGCGCTGTGCTCCCTGTGCTGGTGTCCCTGTGGGCGATGGGGACACGCGGCCCTGGGCAGAGGGCACAGAGCTGCATCCCTACCCCAACCAGCCCAAGTCCTGCCAGGCCTGAGAGCAACTTCCAGCTGTGGCCATGCCTGGGGATGCAAAATGACAAAGCACCAGGCACAGCCCCCCTTGCTGAGCTGGGTTTCAGCTGAGAGGGACGTTGGGGCCCAGGGAGCATCCCAGCCCGGGGGAGGGTGTGGGGAGACCCACTGCTCCCCAAGATTTGGGGGTCTGCACAGGTCCACCTCAGTAGCCAGATGGCTTGTGATATTTGGCTCGTCCGCCCCCCCCCCGCTTCCCGCGGGGCTCAGCACTGCTCACCCCTCTGCGCGCCGTTGCTTTGGAAACATGGGGGAGGTTTGGGGAGGGGGAGCTGGTGCGGATGCGGGGGGCGGCAGCGCTGCTCCCCTCACCGGGGTAGGATGGGTGACATCCCCCGTCTCCCCCACGTGCACCCACATGCTCCAGTGCAGGGGGGCTGATTGATACCCCCCCATGCAGGGCTCAACTCAGGGGGACCACGGCCCTGCTTCATCCTTCGGGCAAGGAGGGATGTGGGGGGATGATGCCATTACCAGGGATGTGTCCTGTGGTGTCGGGACACCCCAGGATGGGCAGGGTGTGCACGGCAGCCCCGTGGGCTCCTCGCAGCGCTGGGCAGCCTTGTGCACACACAGCCACCCACTGCCGCGAAAATGTTCTTCTCTCTCGCAGGCAGCTCGCAGCCCCCGCACTCTCCCACCCACGACGTCGCACCCATCTGCCGGTGCTTGCTGGGCAGGCGGGGACACCCTGGCATCCCTCCTCAACCAGTGGGCACAAGCCTTGTCCATGCACCCGCAGCCCCCTCACCCCCAGCGTGTCCCCCCGCTCCTTGCCAGGGCAGCCCCAGCCCTGCTCAGCACGGAGCAGAGCAAAGGGGCGCCGTTAATCTTCGTTAAGCCCCTCATTAGGCGGCTCGGCAGCCGCAGTGACGGAGGCGATGTGGCAGCTGGGGGGGGGACACACACACATTACAGCTAACCCGGTGTCTCTGCTCCTTGGAGGGGCTGCAGGCGCTGGTCCAGGGTGGGCTGCTGAGTCGTTTGTGTGTGTCCCCCCCGGGAGTGGGGGCTTTGGCCCAGCGTAGCTGGAGGGGACAGAACCTTCATATGGGACTTTGTGGCACAGTTCAGGGGGAGATTGGGGGGCAACTCCTGCCCGGCAGCCCAACGTGGGGGAAACTGCTGCAGAGCAAAAGCCTGGGCTGGTGAGGGTCCCCAGGGCAGCGGGGTCCCCAGGGCAGCGGTTTTGCTGCCCCAGAGAAGCAGCCGGTGTCCGTCCTTGTGCCCACTTCTTCCCTTGTCCCCGAGGCAGCGGCCCTTCCGCAGCCTCAGCCATCACCCGCATGCGCGGTGTCGCCTGCCCAAAGGGTTGGTGCGAACCCTCACAGCAGGGGAGGGCCCTGCTCAAGCACCCCTCAGTGGGTGGGTGGGGGGATCACCAGCTCTAAGGGGGTGACTGGACTGGAGCAGTAACCCATCCTGCTCCAAGCTCGCGGTACCCAGCCGCTGCCCAGTGCTGGGAAGAGCAGCACCCACCACGCTGAGGAGCCCCCTTTGATGCCCCCACTAAGGAGGGGTTTCCAGCCTTCCCCATGACCCCACGACACACACAGCGAGGTGAGGGCTTCCCACACCATCACCAGCTCTGCTCCCGCTCCCAAGGCGACACAGCAACTGTTTGCGGAGATGAGAAACGAGCCCCCTTCTCTGCGGTGCTCGGCTCCCCCCAGGAGACAGGGCTGACTCTTGGGGAGGCAGCAAGTGAATGCACACCCAGGAGTGCATGATTCACGCCCCGGTTACAAAATACAGAGATTTTATTCTCCAGCATAAAAAAAAAAAAACCATAAGGGGAGCTCGCTGCCACTGCCTGTGCCTGCTCCGCACACACACACACACGCATCCCCTCCTGCCAGCGTGCACGCTCCCGTGAGCAGCCCCATGCCGCAGCCCATGCGTTCGCACCCGCGCCCACAGCCGTCCTCCCTCTCCGCTCATGATTCACGTGGGGAGAGCAGCAGCGAGAGGAGATTTTTTGAAGCTGCGGTGATGGGCAGAAGGATAAGTTGCTGCCTACACCCGTTCTGCTCGTGTGAAAACACGCGCGCACCCCACACAACCGCAGCCCTGGGGATGGATTCAGGCTTGTCGATGTGGGCGGGAGAGATGCCTCTTCCCCACGGTTGCCCCTGTACAGGCCCTGAAGCTCCTCAGTGCTGCTCCACAGGGGGGCAAACTCACCCTGGGGATGTTTGTCCGGCTTCTGTGGGAGCATGAAGGTGACGTGGGGGCAGCTCAGCCCGAGTTCACACACCCTGCCCTGACACGCAGCCATTGGCTTCTCCCACCCGGCTTGGAGGGGCAATAACACCCATCAGCTGCAGCCAGGGGAGCTGTCGCAGAGGTCAGGCTCTCTTAATTAGCAGAGGTGCTCGTTAGGCAGGCCCACATAAGCCTCACCACCGCCGCTCTGCTGGGGGCTTTGCAGGTGCTCTTGTGAGTCCAACCCAGCAGCAGTTCAAGTGACAGCACATCACAAACAACCCCCAAGCCCCCCCCCCC